TTTTATTTCTGAAATAATGATAACTTCTCATTACACTGTTAAAAAATAATACAGAGATCCATGTACCCTTTACCTAGCTTCTCCCAGTGGTATTATCTCATATAACTACAGCACAGTGTCACAACGAGGATATTGACAGGGATATAACCATTTAACCTTGTTCAAATTCCCTCAATTATTTATGTGTGTGTGTGTGTGTGTGTGTGTGTGTGTGTGTGTGTGTGTGTCTATGGAACTTTAGTTATATATAGGTTGATGTAGCTTCTACCACAGTCAAGATACAAAACAGTTCCATCACCTCAAGGATGTGTCATGTTGCCCTTGATGTAAAGTTATTACCTGTAAAGTAATAACCTTTACAGGTTATTAATTTAATAACCTGTAAAGGTGAGAAATATTTCATTATTTCAATTAAGTGGGAGAAAAAAACTAACAAAAATTATGCAATTTTAAACACTCATGCTCAAGTTTCTTTCATTTTCTATGTCCATATTCTCTCCCGGATTGGGCTGCTACAAAATATAATTAACCTGACTTTGCAGAATTCCAATATTTTTGCATGGTCATTTTCAGGTATATACTTAGTTGTTAATGAGTTATTTCCATTGTAACACACATGACCAATCAATTACATGCCTGAGTATTTATTTTAGAGAAAGAAAAGGTTACGTTTGCCCGTAAACCTGTGCACAAATATTCACAGCAGCTTTTGATGTAACAAAAGTTAGAAGCAACACACATGTCCATGAGTGCATGAATGTGTAAACAAACTGGAACATCCATGCAATGGAGTACTACTCAGCAACAAAAAGGAATACAAATTGATACAAACATCAACTTGTATGGATCTCAAGAGCCATGCGGTGAGTGAGAAAAGCCAATCAAAATATATCCCATATGATCCCACTTATAAACTGTTCTCAAAATGACACAATTATAGTGATGAGAGATTAGTGGTCATTCAAGGTCTGGATTGGGAGGAAGGTGTGAATATAAAAGTTTTATGGAGTTTTTTTGCAGTGATGGAACAGCTGCTGTCTTAGGGCCGCTTTGACAAAAACACAAAAGATTGAGTGGCTTATACCACAAACATTAATTTCCCATGTTTCTGGAGGCTGGGAAGTTCAAGATCTAGGAGCCAGCAGGTCCACTATTGGGTGCGGTCCTGCCTCCTGTTAGTATCCTCACAGAGCAGGCAGAGACACACAGAGAGAGAAAGCTAACCCTCCTGTGTCTCTTCTTACAAAGGCACTAATCCCATCATGAGGGCTTCACCCTCATAATCTAATCATGTCCCAAAGGCCCAACCTCCAAACACTATCACACTGGAGATCAGGGATTCAACAGATGCATTTGGTGGGGTTGGGGGGACACAAACATTCAGTCCATAACAGTTATGTGTCCTGACTGTGGTGGAAGTTACACGAATCTACATGTGTGATAAAGTTTTACAGAACTATACACCCCCCCCCACAACATGTTTGCATATTAAAAAAAATAGGTGAAATTGGAATTAGGTGTATAGTTTAGTTCATAGCATTATATTATACCCATGCCAGTTTTCAGGTTTTGATAAAGCATTATGTTTAGATAAGAGGCTAACATCAGGGGAAGCTGAGAAAAGGATACGAAGAAATTATCTGTTCTACTGTCACAACTTTTTGGAAGTCTAAAATTATTTCAAAATAAAAACGTGAAAACAAAACAAAAAATTAGTTCCCCCCAATTTGCAGAGAGGTTAACTAAGATTCAAATAGGTTAAATAATTTACACTTATTTTTAAAAACCGTCAAATTTAAATCTCAGTAAAAGGCCAAACTGAGATTTGAACTCCAAGACTTCTGAGTCCAAATTCAGGGTTCTTTTTACCACAGTGCTCCTATTAGCCATGTGTTTAGCTTGAGCAGATAAACATTCAAATGGCAGTTGAAGGTCATCTAGGTAGATAGAAGAACACGTTCAAGGTCATGAGGGAAACAAAAGCAAGGAAAGAAAGTACAAACCATCAAAGGCTGATGATGGGCAGAGGGAAGCACGGAGCTAAGAGGACTGGAGCCATGAGTGGGCCAAGAACAGGGATGGAGGGTACAGGTTGTGAACAATAGGGTATAGGTTGTGAACAGGATGCCTGACGTGAAGATAAAGTGACTCCTGATGATGATAGATCCTAGAAATAGCCCCAGAAAGGAGATGAGTGGCCAGATCCTACTGAAAGTAAAGATCTGAGTATGAAATGGTCAAGGAATCGCGAGGCCAGAGAGTCAAGTTAGTGGTCCACTGGAACATTCAAGTGAGCCAGAATGATGCAAGCATGTGGTGGACAGGAAGATGAAACTCTATCCTTCCTCACAGTATAAGCATCCTGGGGGTAGGTACTGTGCTTTACTTATCTTTGTTCATCACGCAGAGCCTACAACAATGCCACGAACTTAGAGTGCCAGTGATGTTTGCTGAACTAACCAATGAATGTTCTCATGCCCTAAGAACCTGAAACAGTTAATTACTCTTTTCTAGCCCCTGTTTTCCCTTGATGGAGTAGCTTCGGTTGATCAGCATGAACTGAAATAACCACTGAATTCCATCTAAAAATATGTTATTATCATTTTTTCATAATAAAGATGAAGCATCTTACTGAATTTTGTTTAAACAGTCATCTTAAGTGGCATGTATTATAAATATTAACCCATAGAATTCTGATTATCACTAATATCTTTGTTGTTGTTGTTGAGACAGAGTCTCGCTCTGTCACCCAGGCTGGAGTGCAGTGGTATGATCTCAGCTCACTACAACATCCTCCTCCCGGATTCAAGCGATTCTCCTGCCTCAACCTTCCAAGTAGCTGGGACTACAGGTGCCTGCCACCACACCCGGCTAATTTTTGTATTTTTAGTAAAGACATGGTTTCACCATGTTGCCCAGCCAGTCTCAAACTCCTGACTTTGTGATCCACCCGCCTTGGACTCCCAAAGTGCTGGGATTATAGGTGTGAGCACCCTGCCACTAACATCTTATAATGCATGAACATCTGTATGTGCACACCTATACACACACCCTTCCATTCAGAGAATTGAAATGCAAGGTGGTATCCACAGTTGATCCACCGTGGTCTTGACTCTAGAGTTGTGCTGTCCAATACAGAAGCCGCTAGCACCATGTGGCTGTTGAGATTTAAATTAAATAAAATTAAAAATTCAGTTCCCTGTTTGCACTAACCACACATCAGAGGCGTGATAACAACGTGGAGCTAATGGTTACCTTATTGGACAGTGCAGATACAGAACACCCTCATCATTTCAGAAAGTTATACAGAATAGCATTGCCTAGAGCAACCCACAATGACTCACTAATTTGTCTTTTCTGACCCTTCCCTGACTCCCAAACACCACAGTGTCACCTAAGTTTAGTACTACACTTCTCAATGGGCATCTTACATCGAAAATGCTGCACTTAACATTTATTAGGTTACTTTTCAGCACAATTACATAAAACTTGACTATATTGGAATCCTGTTGTCTTTTATGTAAACATATCAAATTGTATGATTATTAATATCTCAAAATATGTGATTAATATGGTAAGAAGCGTGTCAGACAGAATAACAATGCCCCAAAGATGCTATGTCCTAATCCTCAGAACCTGTAAATAGGTATATGACAGGATAAAGGGGAATTGAAGCAGCAGAGAGAATCAAGTTTGCTAATCAACTAATCTTTTTTTTTTTTTTTTTGAGACGGAGTTTCACTCATGTTACCCAGGCTGGAATGCAATGGCACGTTCTCGGCTCACCGCAACCTCCGCCTCCTGGGTTCAGGCAATTCTCCTGCCTCAGCCTCTTGAGTAGCTGGGATTACAGGCACGCACCACCATGCCCAGCTAATTTTTTGTATTTTTAGTAGAGATGGGGTTTCACCATGTTGATCAGGATGGTCTCGATCTCTTGGCCTCGTGATCCACCCGCCTCGGCCTCCCAAAGTGCTGGGATTACAGGCTTGAGCCACCGCGCCCGGCCAACTAATCTTAAATGGGAAAGATTGTTCTGGATTATCCAGGCAGTCCCAATATAATCACAAGATTCCTTAAGAGTGGAAGAGAAGGGGAAAAGAAAAGTCAGTGTTAGAGAGATGCAATATGCAAAAGACTCAACCCATTGCTGGCTCTGAAGTTGGAAGGGGCCATGAGCCAAGGAATGCAGGCCATCTCTGGAAGCTGGGAAAGGTAAGAAAACAAATTCTCTCCTTCAGCTTCCAAAAAGGAACAGAACCCCACCAATAGCTTGGTTTTAGCTCAAAGTGAGCATGGACTTCTACACTCCAGAACTCTAAAAGAATCGACATGTAGCTTTAAACCGCTAAGTTTGTTGGTAATTTCCTCTAGCAACGATAGGAATCTAATAGAGAAGTTTCCTAAAAGTCAATATAATTGATGTAACTTTTATTTAGTTATTCAATATAATTTTTTTTTTACTTTGGTAGCTAAATTACATAATTGATGTAACTTTTATTTAGTTATTTAATTTTTTATTTCTTTTTTACTTTGGGAAGTAGATTGTAAAAGTATTAGTGATACTTTTACAATCACAAAATTCCGAGACTTTAAGTCTTGGAAGTTTTTGTTTTAGTTTTTGTCTGCTTTTAATTTTTTCCCCTAAGACTTTGAAGCTTCAAAATTGGCCTTGTAAAACTTTGTGAGAGTGCATGGAAGAAAGGCTGGCAGAGGAAGAGAGTAGGCCTTGAGCTAAGTATCCAAGCATAGAGTTGCTAATGTAGCACAGTTATTTGCCTGAAAATGACTGAAGATAAAATTAGCTAGCCTATTTTGCTTCAGGAAATGGATAAGGAAATGATATAATCTTTAAGAACATTGGGAGAGGAAATTTATAATTTATATTAGTGAGTAATTTCATTTATAATAGCAATAATGCAATTGTTCTATTGTGTCCACTCTGAGATTTATGTTATCAGGTGAGTTTTTAATTTCCATGTTGTCATTTTTTTTTCGGCTTAATGTGTTTCTGCAGACAATAAACATAAGAAAATAAAGCATTGAATTTAGCATCAAAGTAGTGAACTAGGTCTAATGCATTTGGGATGGGAAGAAATTTGTAGGGACCTATGCTAAAATACAATCTAGAATTCTCTTATGTACCAAAAGATTATGGTTTAATGAGTGCTAAGAACTCACTTCTAAACTTTCTGAAAATCCGAACACTCACCCCCTTTTATGCCTGTCTGAAATCCCCACCTTATGTACTGACAGGGAATTTTTTTTTTTTTTTGAAGCTTTAAAGGCCAATGTTAAAATGCAACATGGAATTGAAAAAAGTAGGAAAGGCCAAAAACTAAAGAACAAAGGAAAGATTCTGATAGATGACAGATGAAACCAGGCAGCAGATAAGCTCATGGAGGCTGGTATGGAAATTATAGACAATTTCTTGGTCAGTGTTTTTCAACAAATCTTTTCTGAAGGAACCTGCCAGCAGCTCCCTTGTCCACTCTCAGAGCCTCTGAGACCCGCTACATTCCATCTCTTCAGGCTCATGTGTCCAGATGCCTACCACACACCTCAACTCAACATGTCCAAAATTGAACTATTCTAATTCCTTTCTACCCCGTACTGCTCCTCGTCACATTTTTCCTGACCCAACCATTCAAGCTGGAAAGCTCAGTGATGCATGAATCGTTCCCTCTTCCACCCCCTCACCATGTCCAGCCTGTTACCAAATCCTCACCAACCCTCCTTCTCCAGCCTTTTAGGTACACACACTTCACATCCATTTCCAGAGTTCACTTCCAAAGCTCGTTAATCTCATGGGTTCTTATGAAAACACAAATTGGTCCCTCCTAACTTGTCCGGTCAGTGAAAAGAGTTTATAGCCACTGGACACCACTCAAATTCTTTTATTTAAAAATATTTTTGTATGCTTGTTATCTGAAAATCACTGTACAGAGCCACATCCCTAGATTTCAAAAAGTTCTAGTGGGATCAGGAACAACAATAATATAGAAAAATAATAAAAATAACTACAGTTACCATTTATTGAGCATCTTCTACATTTTTGGCATTGTTACAGATGCATATATTGCCCCTAATAATCAGAACAGCCCTACAAGGCAGTAATTATACTTATTGTATAGCTATAGATATGGAAAGCTGAGAGTCAGGGAAGTTACTAACTTGACAAGATCTCGCCGTCCTGAGTAGAAACCTGAATTTCTTGAGGGCAGAGGCTATGATAATACCTGGATTATACAATATTGTAATAAACTATATTTGTGAATATATATAATATAAACTTATCTTACTATAATCCATATAGTGGAATGTTTATAATTCATTATAACAAAATATTTATATATTATATAATCTATCTTATATAATAATATAATAAACCTTTTCATTTTCTGTTTAATCTCAGAATTAAAAAAATTCAAAGTACCATATATTATATATAATCTATAAACTTATTTTATTATAATCTATTATAATGAAATGTTTATAATCCATTATAATTCAATGTTTATATATTATATAAACTATTATATAATAACATAATAAAAATTTTTCATTTTTATTAAGGCCAGAATAAAAAAAAATTCAGACAAAGTAGTGGCTGGCTTTCTAGATAATGACAAACAGTCTAAGTCAGAGGAAAGCTATAGCATTTAGAATGACATTCATATTCCTTAAACAGCTTCCATATCAAACACTCGAGTTCTTCCTATTTATGTTTATGAGCTCTAATTCTCCTTAATATACATTGGTCCTGTAATTTCTTACTGCTCTTACAAAAAAATACATGAAGTTAATGAGATTTTCTCCATAGGAGCACTGTGAGCACTTAGTGAAAGAATGTCTGTGGATTGCCTACCACAGAGTCTGACAAAGAATAGAGCCTCTGTAAGAAGCAGTCAATACAACATAATGGCTAAGAGAGTGGGCTGTGGAATCAGCTTACCACTACTCCTTAATGCTGTGTGACTTTGGCTAAGTCACTTAACCTTTCTGAACCTTGGCCTTCTCACAAGTAAAAATATGACTAGTAATACTACCTATATCATGAAGTTCCTATGAATCCAATTGGATAATGCATGTAAGTACTTAGCCTGGTTTAGTAAGCTCTCAATAAATAGCTTTCAACTATTATCTCGCCTCCTCCCCAAGAAAGCAGAATTGCAATAAAAGTGTTATAGTGGAAAGAGAAATCAGTGTCTGCTTTTCATCCACTGCATTCATATAGACAGCAGGCTTTTTTGCCAAAAGCATACTGGTTCATCATCTGAACAGAAAGAGAGCAAACCATGGGATTTGGGAGCTCAGAGAGAACATTAGCTGAAATCTAGCTCGATCTGGCCAAGTTCAGAGATAAGACAAAGGTTCATAAAAGGAAAATCGACTTCCCAATGCTGCAAAGCTCATTTAAGGCAAACCCAAGGGTAGATTCCTACTTCTAGGTTTATAATCCCATGCTTGTTCAACTACGAAAAAATGTACACATTTTTAGAGGTCAGTTCAAAACCTTTTCATGTGTCAGAAATTCTAAAATAAATCAACTAGTCACACTGTTCCCAAATGTCTAACTGATTATATTAATCTAAATAAACTATGGCTTAGTTTTTAAAAATTCAAGTAAAAGGGGGTTTCTATAATACTAAACACGTTTCTAAATTGCTTAAAATGGGTTAAGATGAAAATATGAATACTCTCATGGAGCTAAAGTTTTTAAGATTAAATGAGTTTTATAAAACTACTCAATAAATTCAGAAAGCAATGAACATTGATTAAAATAGGGATTGTCAACAAAAACTTGGAAAAATAAAGCAAGGATATGAAAACTGAGCCAGGGTGCTTTTTGCTCTTGGGGAGATCCCATCTGCCAATTCCCTACAGGACAGACCACGGAAGCACTTCCTTAGCACAATCTTCAGCTGTATCACCTGGGAGCTAATTGTTTAAAGTGTTTGAATATGGTCAAGTATGCTCATTTATTTGGGAACTATTAATCAAAACTTCCTTTACTCCAGGCATGGTGGTTGGACAGGAGCTGAAATAATGAAATAAAATTCGGTCCCTGTCTTCAAGAATTTTAGGGTACAATAGAAGCAGACGATTAAGAAACTGCAATCCAGGATAATGGATATCAGTGGTTAATACTTGGGATAATCAGAATCAATAGCTAGCAGTTATTAAACACATACAATGTGCCTGGCAATATACTAAACACCTTCAAATTGTTTCACAAAACCATCTCAGAGGGTTGCTATGATTAGCTTCAGGAAACTGAGGCCAGGAATCTGCCCAAGGCCACTGAGCCAAAAAGTAGGACTCAAATCTCTGTATGCTGAGCCCACATCCTGTCTGTGAGTGACAGTTGCTCCATGAGTGATTGACAGGAACATACAATGCGCAACGGCACCCCCAGGAGATGTTCCCAACATCTTGGTGGATCAGTGTCCATCTCCTAGAGGGCCCCTGAGCATTGAAACCTAGGTGAATTGGGATGGTGCTGGGTGGAGGAGGGAGTAAGAAAGACTTTCAAGCAGATGAGTGTGTGAAAGAGGAATTGCCTTCCCACTGTCCTAAGGATTGTATGTGGCCTTCAAGTCCCTCCTTGGTTTGGCCCAGCCTCAACTCTTCACCACTGTCTACTCATAGGCTTCTAAAATGTTAAATAAAAAGTTTAACGTTTTTCAGTTTCTTGAAAGGACCAAGCTTGCTTTCCCTGCTGGGCCTCTGGGCATGCCACTCCTGTGCCTAGATGACAGCACTGCTCCTAGATAATACTTAGTCATTCTGCAGGTTTCAGCTTACACATTGTTTCCTTTAGGGAACCTTCCATGAGCTCTCTCCAGGCCCTCCCTAGACTGGTTTTAGGGTCCCTATCATGCACTCCTATGGCCCCCTCCGTCACGGTAGTAAGTGCACTAATAAATCCACTTTCAAACATCTGCCTTCTCTATGAAACTCCATAACCTCCCTTAGCAAGGTTTGTTTTATTAATCACTGTATTCCCAAAGCCTGGCACAATGCCAGGCATATAGTAGGTGCTCAATAATTATTTGTAGAATGAATGAAAAGATCTAAGTGTATGCAGTAACATCCCCATCTTGTGGCCTTTTGGAAGACGCCAGGTAAAGTCTTAATCCCCTGCTGCATTTTCAATAGCAAAAGCACTGGTGGACTTTCGAGATCCTTACTCCATGCACTGGATAAAATTAAAATAAAAATGAGATCCCACCTGCAAGTTCAATGTTTTCCATGGTTAGCTGACACAAAGCAGGAGAAGTAGTTGGAAGGGAATCAACCTGAATACATGGCTCTAAACGGAAGTGAGGCACTTAAACCAGGCAACCCTGTCGCCTTGTCCACTTCCATTTTGGAGCAAAGGATTTTATTTAGGTTTACCATCTGGAAGGTCACTTTCCAGACATATATTTCCTCATGGACTGAATCATTCTCAGTTGGTTTTACAGCCTATTTTGAACTATAGAGTTCAGATGGAAGGAGAAAGCAGATAGTTTGGAGAAGAAGCACCCAGCTAGTGGCCAGGCATGGTGGCTCAAGCCTTTAATCCCAGAACTTTGGGAGGCCAAGGTGGGCAGATCACCTGAGGTCAGGAGTTCAAGACCAGCCTGGCCAACATGGCGAAACCCCATCTCCAATAAAAATGCAAAAAATTAGCTGGGCATGGTGGTGCATGCCGGTAATACCAGCAACTCAGGAGGCTGAGACAGAGAATCATTGGAACCTGGAAGGCGGAAATTGCAGTGAGCCAGGATTGCAGCACTGCACTCCAGCCTGGATGACAGAATGAGACTCTGTATAATTACAAAAAAAAAAAAAAGGACCCAGCTAGTAAGTGGCATTGCTGGCCCAATGTCCCCATCACACTGCCTCTGCTCTCACAGTTGGGCTTGTTAATAATTGAGCGATGATTAATGTGTGGTAGAATAGAATGATGGCATGTTATTTTAGCTCATTTTGTTATGGAATAATCATAATTAGCACGCAACTTCTCTCTTTATGTGTGGTCCAGAAAATGATGACGGTACATAATTTAAAGTTATTCCCAAAGTGGGATGCTTTGAAAATGTTGCAGAGAAAGAGCAATAACATTAAAGTTTTATAGAAAGATTAGAATTTTTATATACAAAAGCATTAAATTTTGACAGACAAGTCTATGCATCCCCAAAATAATAATCTACAACTTCAGAATCATAGACTCTTTAAACAGGAAAAATGCTTAAAGGAAGACTCTGATTAAAATGAATAAACATTTTTAAAGGACTTTGACCTCTTCAAAGTAATTATCGCAGGCACTTACTGGAGCACTTCCTGTGAGCCATGAACTGAGCACATCACATAGACTATCCTATTGACCCTCAACCTCTCCAGCTGGTAAGTAGGTGTTTTCACTCCCATCCTAAAGACAAGGAGATGGAGCAAAGGAGGGTGAAGGGCCTCGTTCAGAGTCTCATCGTGAGTGCACAGTGGACCCGAGATTCAAGGCACCACAGTCTAGAGTGCCTGTTTTCATGTCCCTTTGCAAAACCAAAAGTTAAACCAACCCTGCTCTCTGTCAGTTTGTTATCCTAAAACGTTTTGAAGATGTGTCAAAGTTATGACCTCACTTCTCAGACACTCCCTATCCTTTTGCCACCAGAAATTTCCGGTATAATAGTTAGCCACGGTGGAGTCAAAACAGTAGAGTATTTGCAGTTGAAAAACAGGCGCTTTGGAATACTTTGATCTTCCACCTTTATCAGATCACTTAATCTTCCTCAAACTTTTCTGAATCTGTAAAATGGGTGCAACATTTATTTCACACAGTTGTTGAATTTCATGAAATAATATCTTTAAAAAGGCCTAGAACCTGAGGGTTGCTCAAACATTTGTTGGTTCTGACTCAATGATTGTCCTTGGGGTCCACGACCCCCTCTAACATCAGCAACACCCCCCCATCCCATTTCATATAAGAAGCCTGGATGTGTAGAGTTGGTCACTGAGACATTGGATTGATAGAAATTTCTCTGCTACTATTTTAAATATTCTTGAGGGCCCGATTAAGTCCAGAGAAATGTTTTCCCTCAGCCAGGCACGGTGGCTCACGCCTATAATCCCAGCACTTTGGTAGGCTGAGGTAGGCGGATCATGAGGTCAGGAGTTCAAGACAAGCCTAGCCAACATAGTGAAACCTGTCTCTACTAAAAATACAAAAAATTAGTCAGGTGTGTTGGCGGGCGCCTGTAGTCCCAGCTACTAGGGAGGCTGAGGCAGGAGAATCACTCAAACCCGGGAGACAGAGGTTGCAGTGAGCCAAGATCGCCATTGCACTCCAGCCCGGGCCACAGTGCAAGACTTCAACTCAAAAAAAAAAAAAAAAAAAAAAAGAAAAGAAAAGAAAAGAAATGTTTTCCCTCAATTTTGTCTCCTAAACAAACCAAATGTAGCTCTTTCTAGTCACAGGCCTAGGTTGTTTAGCCCAACTTTAACGGTTAATTGGATCTTTAAGTCATCATTGAATGCAGAGGAAACATACAAGCCCAAATGAATATATTCTTCATTTATTTTTCAGGTAGAAACAATCACCAATGGTTCACTCATTCATTCAACACTCTGCAAATATTTATTGAGTGCCTACTTTGTTTGTTTTTAATAAAACACAATCCCAAGTGTTCAGAATATTTGGAGAGTGGTAAAGTTCATATAAGTTGTAAATATTTTTACACCCTCTTTCAATCATTTCCCAAGAATGAAATTCTAAGAGTGATGAGTTTACACTGTTTGCAAATAGCACAGATATGTCTAAACTCTCCAAGGTGATGACCTTCCAGCACTAATAAGGCCTTCTCCCCACCAGTGCCTTTGGTAATGCCCTTTCCAATTCAGCCACTTACATCATATTTAAGATTATGAATAAGTTTTCATTACCACACACTCTGCCCTTGGTCACAGTCCAGGGACATGAAATCAAACAAAAAAGTAGCTACTAGGCAAGTGTTCTCTTATCTCTTGCCACAAAGATAAAAGAAAAAAATTGAAGAAAAAAATGAAATCTCCGATATGAATGTTAACAAAAGAATTAAGAACCAAAGGACTTTGAAATACTGTTGTAAACAAGGACTACTAATAAATACTACTTGGTACAAGCAGGTATGATTTAAAAACTCTAACTGAACCACAGTTTCTAACTGAACCCAAATCTTAAATGTTTTGCTTTTACTAATGGTAAAATACTGCGGATGCCGGCCCTCCTGCTCATCCAGAGGTCAGGGTGACTGAAAGTGGCCAAGGTGCTGTGCCAGGTGAAGAGAATGGTCTCAACGTTGCATGAATGCTACTACATGGTTTAGCCTCCAGAAATCTCTTCTGCCTTCTGTATTGTTTGTTTTCAGAGAACTGAAGAGGTGATAATGCAAGGTAGAGGAATGTGGCAAGCAGAATAATGGCCTCCAAAGATGTACACGTCTTGCTGCCTGGAACCTGTGAATATATCACCCTGCACAATGAGAGGAACTGTGCACATGTGATTAAATGAAACATCTGGAGATGGGAGATTATCCCGGATTAGCTGACTGGGACCAATGCCATCACAAGGGTACTTGGAAGAGGGCCAGAGTCACGAGGTGGGATGATGAAAGCAAGAAGTTGGAGGGATATGAGGAAGGGATCATGAACCAAGGATTGCAGGAGGCCTCTGGAAGCTGGAAAAGGCACAGACACGGATTCCTCCCTGGAGCCTCTGGAAGCAACCAACTCTGCTGACACCTTGACTTTAGCCCAGTGAGAATGACTGCAGACTCTGAGCTCCAGAACAGCAAGAGGATAAATGTGTGTTGTTTTGAGCCACTTGATTCATGGTTATTTGTTATGGCAGCCATGTAAAAGCAACACAAGTACCAAGCTGTGTTCTCTAGTTACAAACAGCAAGGGACTGGGAACCAGAACACTTTGGTTCCAATTTTGTCTCTGACATTACTAGCTGTGTGATCTTAAATGAGTCACACTGCCTCTCTGGACCTGATTTACCCATATACCAGAGGGCTCCATTAGTTAACTATTCAGTGCCTTCTAATATGAGGATCTATAGAGGGCACAGTGTGAAGTGCACGCAGACACCTAAATCAATATCCTTCTTGTCCTCCTGATATTTTAAATTTTAATTTATATTCTCCTTGCCCTATTATACCTCAAGCAATGATAAAGCCAGATAATAAATTCCAGACATCAGTACTGAAGACATAGAGGCATCTAAATGAATTTATAAATCCTAGGATCTTTTTGACTAGTATACAAGATACTTTTGGGGAAATAAAAAACACACACACAAAAAAAGATGGCGCTACATTAGTTAGGTTTATTTTAGAGAAACACCTTAGTTTTGGCCAGACGTATGGGCCGGCTGTGCCACTGCACCCACTGAGTGTTTATCTTCTCCACTCTTGTGCAATAATTTTAATAAAAGCCCTGCAGCAGCCTCACCCCAGGTGGCGAGCCAGCCCCACCTGTCTCTCTTCCTGACAGACTGTTGAACATGGATGCCTTCCAGAGACAAAAAGTCATTATTCTGCCTTCTCAACCTTTCTGTTTTTGTTCCAGGTAGCTGTTGCAAAATGTTGCATATTTAGAAACATGATGTCAGCTATTTCTTATTTTGCCATCACTGAGATGTCATGTGACTTGAATTTTCCAACACATAGATCCCTTTTTCCACTTGTCCCCATTCTGTACACACAAAAGAACAGTAAATGGATTAAAGGGAGCCCACCAATTTATGTTTCATTTCTTCTGAATAAACAAGCCCACCCAGGCACCTGGCACTGGAAGTGAGATGAGGACAGCCAGGTGATGCTTTGCCCTTCACCAGCTTTATGAAGCTGAGCTGTTTACCGATATTTTATGAATATAAAGCTGAGCTGTTCACTGATATTCCGAGTGCACATTTAAGAACTAGATTCTATGTACTTAGCAACTCTTGACAGTAGCTTGCTCACAGTATTTTGTCCATTTGTCCAAAGGATTGCTTGTTCCCTTTGTGGAACCACCAAACAAGGATAAGCAAGCTACACTGGTATACTTCTTTCTCTGAGACTTGTAGAGGGTCAGGTTTTTTACACTGACCATCTTGCTGAATTTGCTCAGCCTCTGAAGGCTTCAATAATACAATGGAGGCCTTCTAGGATGTAATTTGAACTTAAGAAGGTGATACATGGCTGGCGCAGTGGCTTACTCCTGTAATCCCAGCACTTTGGGAGGCTGAGGAGGGCAGATCACGAGGTCAGGAGATCAAGACCATCCTGGCCAACATGGTGAAACCCCGTCTCTACTAAAAATACAACAAATTAGCTAGGCATGGTGGTGCTCGCCTATAGTCCCAGCTACTCGGGAGGCTGAGGCAGGAGAATAGCTTGAACCAGGGAGTCGGAGGTTGCAGTGAGCAGAGATCGTGCCACTGCACTCCAGTCTGGAGACAAAGCAAGACTCCATCTCAAAAAAATAAATAAATAAATAAATAAGGTGATAGACATTATTTTCGCACATCAGAGATATGCTAGGAAAAGATTAACTGTGGCAATGTGAAAAGGTCTGGATAATGAAATCATTGTCTCTCTCCCCATTTTCCCTGCAGGATTTGAAGCATCCACTTCCCCTGTACCTTCCAGGCCAGCCCCATTCAGTAGCAAAACTAGATGAAGAAAAGAAAGGCAAAGAGCTCACACTGGAGGTGAGACATAAGGGAGAACTTTGGGGACAGATGGCACAAGAGACATTCAACCATATCTTTTTTGCAGATGAACATTGCTCTTCCTAAAAAGGGTTTTATTTCCTATTGATAGAAGTCATTCCGTTTTTGTATTATTTAGTTCGTTCTGGGAAAAAAAAGCAGTTGAGTAAACAAAACAATAATCATGCTCCCCGCCACAAAAAAAATCTGCACAGTTTTTTATACATCTCTCAATTTTTTGTGGTTCCTTGTCCCTAGATGGAAATAAAATGTTATCCATGAATCAGTCTTGTAAAGGTCAAGGCTCTTGGTTACAAGTAATGGAGACCAAATATCACTAACTTAATGAAGCAGAAAAGGCATATTCTGAGAGGATATTGTGTCGCTAACTCAATCAGCAAAAAGGCCAGAGAATCCAGGCTGATAAAATGGGCAGGACCAGACTAGAGTCAGTAGCAGGGAACCAGGCACATTTTATCAGGAAGCCACCTCTGGTGACCACCACTGCCGACAGTAAGAACTCAATGTCACCATCACCAGACACCTCCTGTTCTTGCCTCCAGAATTTTAACACTAGCCACTGCCCTTGCTGGAGTCCACATTTATTCTCAAACTAGCACCCAGAAGCACTTCTCAGTTGGCTTTGTATCACTGGATCATTTGAATGTTTAAGCCTAGGCAATGGACATGTATTCCCGTAGCAGGGGGCATGGGAAAGGAGTGTCTGGCCATTCTGTTACCTGTGGATGGTCTTAACTATGAGTCATCCAGGTTCTTGACATTTTGAACAAAAAATCGCACAAAATCCACAAACAAAGCAACAAAACAATGAAGCAACGAAAACACAGAACTATTGAAATGAAAGTACACTCACGTACACTCCACAGAGTGGGAGCGGGCTCTAGTAAGCCACTCAAGAGCGCTGGTTACAGAATTTTCTGGGGCTTAAATGCTCTTTAGAGGTTTCCCACTGGTAACTTGGTTACACCCTATGTAAATGAAGGAGTGGTCCAAGGCCAGTCTGATTAGTTTCTAGAGGTGACCAATCAGAGGCTGAAGTGAAGTTACAAAGTTGCAAGTGGAGACTTGCCCCATGATCAGCCTGATTGGTTGTAGGAAGGGACCAAGCAAAGGTACTTTCCATTTTTTATCTGTGAGACAGTGCAAAGCGAGTAGCCTCTTACTCTTTTGTAACTTGGGTGTGGAGAGGTGGGGTTTTCTTTTTGATTCAGTTCTAGGAAGTCAGGGTGAAACAGCCGTAGGTTCCCTGCCTCCAGACCCTTTTCTCCTGCCTCAATTTCAACTTCTGTAATGGGAAGTGAGGCCTCCCTTCCACCAAGACTCACATTTTTTTTTAGACTCACATTTTAAAGGTCTCTGCACAAATGGAAGGGTGTTGGAGCTTGACTTTCCAACAACAGCGGATGT